CTTACACGGTATTTGTTGACCACTTGGTTCATGTCCAGGCTCTGGGCTCCCTGCGTAGTAGGGAGGCTTACTTGGTGGAGGGCCCTAGGTAACAAAAATTACCCAGAATTAAAAGTGTATCAGGAAGTATTTCAGAATGTTATACTGCTGCGAAGGTGGTTCAGGCTAGCCCAAGTTCTGATGATGTTCACTGGCATCCAAGGGGTGTGCTTGGTATCCAGGCAGTGCAGAAAGGGGGAAAAGGCCCCTAGACTCCATTATGGAGTCTTTCTTGCTAGTGGTCTCATGAGATGCTCTCTGCTTAGTTTGTTTGCTGGTGCCCTGTGATATGAGTGCCAATCACTGCCTCTCTAGAAATATCAAAGTGGGCAACATGGGCAATATGATAGTGGCCTTTGCCTGTGATGAATGAAGTGAGAACTGAGTTGTGTGTCTGTTTCCTCATTAGTTAGTGCAGTGTGTGTGTGTGTGTGTGTGTGTGTGATGTATGTGTGAGTATGAGCCTGTGAATATATGCACTTACAAGTTGCCTTGGACAACTGTTTCCTACTTATAATGTGTTTGCCTTATATAGTAAGTGGAAGGGAGAACTAGATGGTGAGTCAGTGTGATAACCCACACAGTGTCTCGGTAGCATCACAAATTGTGTAGAAGGTGATCTAGAGTGAGGTAAGCCTTAGTTTGGGGTCTGGATCATTGGTGTTTCTTTCTGACTTGGTATTAGCCTTGTGATCTCTTCAAAAAAGGTGTAGGTTTGTGCTGGACTCCATGCTTGTCTTGTGTCTGGGCAGTGTGTGTTTGAGGAGGTGCTTTCTGAGCCCACGGAGTCTGTCCGACCTATCTCCTCAGTTAAATCCACTGGGTGGCAGAAATGTGGAAGGAACCTGGTCATCTTTACATGTCACACTAAAACAGTTGTTCCTCAGTGATGCTAACTCTGACTCAAAGCCCCAAGTGCAACCCTGCCTCCCTTCATTAAATACTGTGTAACCAAAGAAAAAATGAAAAGTTCTCTGGTGGAAACTCAGTTCCTTAGTGCTTTGGAGTCACTGAATGTTAGTCTTTAAAACTTAGAACAATGAAACTAAGCCCTAACATTTCAATTTGTCTCTATGGCTGCCATCAGTATAACAAAAGGAATTTACTGACTGGGGCTGGGGTGAGGTCTCTCCTGGAAGGAGCCTTACAAGTGCTACAAACTTCCAGAAGGTTCGGATGTCACTGTGTGGATAGTCCCAGGTTCTGAGAAGTTGGTCGGCCCACAGGTTACCTGAGGGGCAGAGGCTGCCTCTCAGCAGAGGGAGAGACCTTATCACTACTGCTTTCTCTTCCCCCAGCAGCCGAAGCTCCAGACACTTGCAAACATTACTGGATGCAGGGAAGGCTGTGGCACTGGTGGTTCTCAGTTCTCCTCCCCCAGGTTGGCAAGATCTGGAAATTAAAAAAAAATAACCTTCTTTAACAGGTCTGGGAGTCATCCTTGGCCAACCACAGGAATAGCCGAATCCATTCCCATTCTTTCTCTCGGGCTTTTCCTCTGTTTACTTTGTGTGAGTCCCAGAGACTTGATGAGGAAGGAAAGCAGTATAGAATGTCAGCTCTTGTGTGAAGCCTAAAGGTGGGAAGGGAGGCCTTGTCTTAGTTGCTGCTTTGTTGCTGTGAAGACACCATGACCAAAGGCACCTTGTAAAAGAAAGCACTTGGGGCTGACTTACAATTTCAGAGAGTTGGCCTATGACCATCATGGCGGGGGAACATGGCAGCAGGCAGGCAGGCAGGCAGGCAGGCAGGCAGGCAGGCAGGCAGGCAGGCAGGCAGGCAGGCAGGCATTGGAGCAGTAGCTGAGTGAGAGCTTACGTCCTGGTCTGCAGGCAGGTAGCAGAGAGAAAGAGAGAGAGTAGGCCTGATGGGCACGCTTGGAGCCTCAAAGCCATCCCCGGTAGCACACCTCCTGTAATAAGGCCACACCTCCTAGTCCTTACTAAACAGTCCACCAACTGGGAGCCAGACATTTAAATATGTGAACCTCATTTAAACCAACACTGTCCTAACAGCAATAGAAAGAGGACACAAAAATGGAAACCATAAAACTGAATGGAGAAGGAAAAGCATGTCAGATATTTCAGTCAGAATACTGGAAATTGGTTTTGCTCTGGGAGCTCTACTCCCTTTCTAGAATGACCTCTGTTGGCTCTGGGTTCAGCAAGGAGCCTAGGGGAACGTTCCCAACAGGAGGCAGCTGTTGGTGGCAGAGAGAGTCTCGCAGTCTCTTTTTAGATGACTGATTTTTAACTAATGCCTGTGGCCTTCCTATGTGTGCACAGTCTGGGTTGGGATTTAGCTTCCTTCCATTGCATGCCTAGAGACAGTCTTGGTGTCATCAGTGGTCCATGCTCCTAGCCTTTCTCCAACCAATGCATCATCTCACTTGGTCAAGGCTCTTGCTTGTCATTACAACTTCAGCTCCTCACAGGGGACTGTGGGAACCTCTGAGCTTCTGGAAGGGCTGCTGAGAGCTAGAGCAGGAAGCCATGTCTAACCCTGGACATGCTAAGCCCATTATCTTACACTAGTCTAGATCACGTCCTATATTCACCAACTCATAGACTCAGGGAATTCATGGAAAATCTTCAAACTAACTAGAAAACAAAGAAGAAATGTTTACCTTCAAAAAATGAAATCAACAGAATTGTGTTTCCAAAGCCTGTTTAAGTCATTTCACTTTGAAGTATAGGCACAGAAATCTTGAAATAGTAGCAAGTGTCACCCTGCCACAGAGTGAAAATGTGGTACTTGAATTACTGTGGCCTTTTCAAATGGGCAGTCATTTAAAAAGTCTCTTAAAATTAATTTTATTACTACTCAGAGGGAAAAACAGAAAGCATAATCCAGTCAAAATGAAAAATATACAGCAGCAGTAAAGTTTACCTGCATGACTGTAAGAATAGCCAGAGAATTCTATAATGGAATAGTGGCCAGGAATTTGCTTTACTTAATATTTACTTTAAAGCTATAATATGAAAAAAAGATATGGTGCTGTTACCAAATGGATCATTTGAGCTAAATTGAAAATCTCAAAATAGACTATGGGGCTCATGATAATTAAATGATAAAGCCAGGTGTGATGGTATGTACACACATGTGATCCCAACACCTGGGAAGTGGAGGCAGGAGGATCCCTTTGAGTTCATGGTCAGCCTGGGCGAGGTAGGCATACTCTCAACAATAAGATATAAAAGTAGTATTTGAAATCAGTGAAGAAAAAGGATCATTTTAAAAATTGTAACTGCTTCAGCATTATTATAACATAATAAAAATTTCCTCATTTTGCCCAAATATAAATGGATAAACAAAAGTTGTAACATGAAAAAAATTAATTAAAATTCTCAAATAAAATTCTGTTCAAGGGGGGTGGAGAGATGTTTCAGTGTTTAAGAGCACTGACTGCTCTTCCAGAGGACCTGGGTTCAATTCCCAGCACCCATATGGCAGCTCAACACTGTCTTAAACTCAGGGGCTTTTACCTAACTCTCACACAGATATATATGCAGGTAAAACACCAATGCACATAAAATAACAATAAAGAAATTCTCTTCCATAACCGTATGTAGCCATGGAGGATAATCTATGAATGAAAAGCCTCATTTTCCCTCCTTTACTGTCCTGAAATTATATATTCCAAAGCAAAATAGAAAGCCTACTACTTGCTCAGTTTCCAGCACAAACTGTAAAAAATAAAACATACAGATGAGGAGCTGGGAATACTTTGTACTATTTGGGAATAGAAGGACAGTGTTTGGATTATATGGGAGCTTCTAATTTGTTGAGATAAAGATAGAGTATTAAATTGATAGCAAATGTCAAGCATCTTGGCAAACTTCATGTTCTGTGATGATCAAATCCTGTTCTAGGCAGTCACTCTGCTCTTAGGAAAAAGTGCAGATGTTCGCGTGTGTGTATATGTCAAGAGATGTACATGCTACTGTCTTCAGACTTGTCTGTCAAAGCTGAGAAAGACTAAAAGAGACAGGAAGAGAGGGTGGAGGGAAGGCTGAAAGGAGGAGGGAGCAGGGGAGAGGAGAAATGAGAAAAGACAGAAAGAAGCAAGGCTGGAAGATAAGATGACGAAGGAGAGGAGAGCAGCGAGGAAGGAAGGGAGGCTGCAAATGTCCAATCGTAGGTTTGATAAGACCAAGTGTGCTCAGAACCGACTGGCCGTAATAGATGCCAACAAGAGAGGAAAACTGGTACAGGTGGCAGCTGGCCAGTAGCCAGTGGTCGTGTGTGGGGTCAGGCTCGCAGTACTAAGTACAAGAATATTATTTAATGAAAGCAAATATATAGAAATATATTCACATATGTATTCATACAAACACCTGGCATTTGCAGGCTTCGTGCTGGTTTTCTCTCAATCAGTGAGTTAGAGTTGACTTGTCCCAAATCTGCCTACACATTTTCTCTTTTATAATGACCATGTTTTAGTGTTGGGGGAAGACAGTTGTGAGAACTCCAGGCTTGACTCCATTAGTCTGCTCAGTGAATACGTTGGTTCTGCTCTGCTCCTCTCTTCTTGTCCCCATGTCAGCACCTCAGCACTCCAGGCTTGGTAACATACCACCTCAACTTTGTCCTTTAGCTTTCTCAAGTGCCACCCTTCACCACGAGCAGAGTCTGAGCATTCTGGAGACAGGACTGATGCTTTGTGATTTGCTTTTCCCCTGCTTTACTCTGGGCCAGGTTGAGTGGAGGTGGGCTGGGCATGTATCCTCTTCCTCAGAGGACTGGGAAGACAGGTCCTGGGTACAGAGAGTTGCCTGAGGCAGCTGGAGAGCTGAGGAGACTGGAATTGGCCAGGGACCACAAGAAGTACCTGAGAGCAAGGGAAGCCAACTTTGGGATGGGCCAGGAGCAAGTACAGGCTCCTCCCCCATTTCTTGTTTCCCTGGGTGATTGTTATGTTAACCTGTACTTTTTGTCTTGTCTCTGTATCACATGGACAGGTACTCACATTCCCACGGACCAGCCCTGTTGTCGTGGTCTCTATGACTTTGAGCCAGAAAACCAAGGAGAATTAGGATTTAAAGAAGGGGACATCATTACATTAACCAATCAGATAGATGAAAACTGGTATGAAGGAATGCTACGTGGGGAATCCGGCTTCTTCCCCATTAATTACGTGGAAGTCATTGTGCCTTTACCTCGGTAAATGTGTCTTTTGGACCTAATTTCATAACTGAAATGAATCTGCACCAGTGTTCTCTCAGTGTGGTGTTCTGTGACATCCCCACTCTCTGGCCCACTTAATCACTTTTGTATGTGTGTTTTCTTTATAATGTATTTTGTATCAATTTAATTTGTATAACTGATTCCTTTGTCCTAACTCATAAAGATAGTTTTCTTCTTGTTCTAAAAAGTCATTGGTTAAATGTATTTGCTTCCTGTTGCGGAAAAAAAGTAAATTGCGCCCATTACAGATATGTGAACGAATGACCTGTGTTGTTCTTAGCTGCAGTGGAATGCACCCTTTGCAGCTGAAAAAGCTAAAGATTTTGTTTCTTGAGGTTTCAATGGTATCCAGTCTTTACCTGTTTTAAGCTTATCTGTGAACAGCCCAATAAAGATGACACGCTGTGTTCATTAAAGACTATGGTTATTTTTATGTAAAATTGCTCTTTAAGCATGGACTTCAGCACAAATTCCTCCTGTGCCCCTTGGCTGACCTGGGGTGCCAGGCAGGGCCCTTAGGTATGGCAGTAGATCAGTGCCAACAGGTGGGGGTGTGGCCCTTTATTAGCCACTAATTCAAATATGGTTTATCCTCTTTGCAGCTCAAGACTAGAAAACCTTTTTGCCTAGTGTCAGGTTTATAAAACAGCCCACCTCAATTTGTCTGCTGTCACACATGGGCTGGTAGGCTTTCAAGCAGGCCCATTGTGGATGCTGAGGCAGAAGTATGGTCTGTTGGGCCGAGTGTCCAATAACTTAAGTTTGCAGACAGCTCTGTCCTTAGCCTCAGCATGACCTTGTCACATGCTGTGGCACAGCAGAGCCCACAACAATCCTGCCACACAAAGAGGAGTCTTCTACTGCTCCCCTTTGCAGAGAAGGGGAGTCACGGGTGGTTTGTCTAGCATCAGACTATAAGTAGTGGCAGGAACAGAGTTTGGGCTCTGATTGTGTGATGGATGCTGGCATACAAGTGTCCATCAGTCTCTGGGAGCTGCAATAGTGGTCACTGGCATTTGTAACAAAAACCCAGAGGCAAGATTTATCACCTGAGGTGACCTAAGTTGAGTTTCCTAGTCTCCTGAACTGGCTTTCTTAACAGGTTCGTGTGTGTGTGTGTGTGTGTGTGTGTGTGTGTGTGTGTGCGCACATGCCTTGCACAGTCAGTGTAATTCTTAGCATTCACTGGGCATTTATTATATGCCAGGGGCTGCTATAAGCAGCTTCCATGAAATCCTCATAAGCCGTCCTGTCCTGTGAGGTCCATTTGATGCCCATCCTTCAGACACTAGGATTGCGCCACAGAAATGCCAAGTCACTTTTCCGGTCACACAGTCAAGTGTCAGAGCTGGAATTTTAGTTCACAGTCATCTCCCTTGTCCATGGTCAGGTCTTCACCCTTCTAGAATAGCTCTTATTACATCTTTTTACATGTAAATTCACAAACAAGCCTGTTTTTATACCAGGCTTTTATTCTCCATCTGCTATATTAGAAATTTACCAATGAGAAGCCCACAGGCACTCTTGATGTTCATCATTTACTGTGATAACTGGCTTAGGGGAAAATAAGCAGTAATTGGATTTAATTGAGAGCTACAGATTAATTTCTAATGATAACTGAAAAAACTCAGCATTTTATATCAGATCACTTTAAAGCGATTAAAAATAGGACTTGGTTAACCACCAGACAGCTGCTCAGGAGGGGGCATGGTAACCATGCCCAGGCGATGACTACTATGCCTGTGTCACATTATGTCTTCCACGGGCTTGCGGCCTCAGCTGTTTGGCAGGGTCCCATCTCTACATGATATTTGTGGAGAAGGCTGGCAGATAGCATCTGGCTCCTGGTGCAGGCTTGGTACCAACTGCTTCTAGCAGCTGTGCGGAGAACATTTCATTGTGAGTTCCTGCCTCAAGGCACTCATAGCTTTATGGACATTCACTGCCTTCCCGGTTTGCTCTCTGCTGCTGCAATAAACACTGTGAACAAAAGCAGCTCAGGAAGGGAAGGGTTTGATTTATCTTACAGACTATGTGGTCCGTCATGGAGGAAAGTCAGGGCAGGAACCCGGTGTAGGAACCCCTGGAGGAGCGCTGCTTACTGGCTTGCTCAGTCCGCTCTATTATATAAACCTAGGATCCTCAAGCCCAGGGTGGCATTGCCTACAGGCTAATCTGATGGGGCATTTTCTTAACTGAGGCTGCCTCTTTCCAGATGACCCTGGCTTGTGTTAGGTTGACAAAATAAGGAGCACACAGCACAGCTTGCATCGAGTTTTCTATTCTCATTGTTAAGAATTCATGTGACTTCTTTAATTGGAAAAAGTATCTATGACCTTTCAGATGTGAAAACAAGTTTGAACATTCAGATAGCTTTATTTTTCTAATTATAAAAGGTAATGCAGATGTATTATAGGAAAATTCAGGTTGTCTGTAAAGTTATAAAGGAAATCACCTTTTAGTGCATAACCACAAAAGACTTATTTTTGTGACAATTTTCATTATGTCTTTCCCTTGTATACTTCTGCATTCACATGTGTACATGAATGGAAGTGTATATTGTGATTTCAATGTTACATGTTAATTGTAGACCTAAGTCCTTGAACAAGCTATGTAATATTTTATTGTGTGGGTGTATACAACATAACTAGGTTTCTGCTCTTAACACATTTCCAGTTTTATGGTCAATTTTAAAGTTACTTTACATGGAAATGGGTCAAAAGGACAAGCAAAATGAACTTGGATTTATGCTGATTTGGTGTATTAATTAACCTCCTTATTAAACTACCTGTATTTCCTGAAGGTTGTATGTTTGTGCTATTGGTTGCATTCCCATACTGCTTCCTATGATGTCTGCATCAATGTACATCACCAAGAGTATTGTGGCATCCCCTTCTCCAACCCCTTACTGCTTGTTGTCACTGTCTCTGTTAATGTGAGGTGACAGCCATTTCCCCTTACTGCAGGGGATTTGCTAAATATCTTAGACCTAGAGTAGATGGTTGACACCAAGTACTCAGTAATTCACACACACACACACACACACACACACACACGCACGCACGCACGCACGCAGGCACGTGCACGCACACATGCACACATGCACACACAGATTCTGCCTATATGTGAGTACACAGACTTAATGCTCTTCCATCGTAACTAAGTATCTTCCATGCACGGTGTCTCTCACTTCTGTAGGCTGTGGTGGGATGGTAAAATAACACAGGTTCCTTTTTTTTTAAGTCTTCACAGTTTCACAGATTTTTAACACAGGCTTTTTATCATTATTTTACCTCTTAAGTTCATATTTTTTGCTTAAATGAAACACTCACAGCCTTTCCCTGGCATATCCAAGATGCTACCATCTCCACCCTTGTACTGATGATGTACTAATAAGGGCATGCGCAATACGAAATACTGCTTAAACACTGGCACTGCTATTCCACTGTAGTAGATGTGGGAGCAGACATCCTGCTAAGTAACTACCAACCAGGTAGTGTTTACAGTGTGGACACACTGGGCATCGAGACAATCCATGTCTTGGGCATGATGGAGCAAGACGGTTGAAGATTGCAACACATTTTTCAGAATGGTCTGAAAGTTACAACAAGGAATTTCCCCTTTCTGGAATTTTCCATTTAATATTTCAGATTGCATTTATCTACTAGACACTGTGGAGAGCAAAACCAAAGATAAGCAAACTCACTGCACCCCAATATAGTTTTTGTTTTTTTTTTTTTTGATTAGTGACACTGAACACCTTTCTTTGTATCTGCTGAGCATTATTTTGGCTCCTTGCTCATTTCAGAATTAGGTCGTTATATTTTACTTTTTGCCACTGACTTGTTCCATATATACTTTAGATATTAACTCCTTGCCATAAATATGATTTGCAGATATATTATCGCAATCAAAAGGTTGATTGTTTACTGTGCAGATTTTCATTTTATGCTGTTTTGTGTGGTAGAGAATGATCTATGATAGCTATACTTTGCTTTTATTGGGTGCATTTATTAAATCTATAGCAAGCAAAAGTAAAAAGAATAAATATCAAGTGGCAAATAGAAGCATCATATAGCAGAATATCATCAAATCAGGAGTCTATGATCTGCCGTAGAGTTGATTGGAGTTGCAAGATTGAGGGAGTATAGACAGACAACTCTCCCAGATCAGAGGCTTACAAACATGCAACGAATGTTGACTAGAGAGTTGACAACAGCCCTCTGGAGTTTCCAACTGAGCCTTCTCTCCATGGATGAGTTTCTGGGTTCTCATTACCACTGCAGGCATGTTTACATCTTGAGAAAAACAATAGTGATAACTGTTGAAAATGGCCGACTTAGCTGTTCTCAAGGATACAGTGTTTTTAATACTCTCAGGTGCTTGCTGTTTGTTTTTTTCGTGTTTCCTGTTATAGAGCAGGGGGACCAGCCTGATCCAGAGCAAGGGGATTAGAAGAAACAGTGGAAGGTCTTCACTCTCAGAGTTCACTTTCAGTAAGCTTAAACAGCACATGACAATTTACCAATATTTACCTTACCTAGCTTTGGTAGTATATGCTTCTGGTGTCCCATCAAGAATGCATTGTATCTTCTCAAGAGTTTTATTATTTCTAGTCTTATATTTTGACGTTTGTCTATGTAAAAGAAAGATGCTACTGTAGTTAGACCTTGAATGTGTATAGACAGGTGGGAGTGTAGATGTGTGTACACACAGCTAGAGCTGGAGCATGCTGCAGCCCACCGGTCTGCAGGGATCAGCCTTAAGTGCAGGAGGAGGATGGGGGTGATGGGGCTGCTGTGGTCACATGTATAGAAGCCATACTTCTGGGGTCAGACACTGTAGAGGCAGCAACTAGGTAGTTAAGGGGAAGGGAGATGGGAATGGTGGTTTAAATTCCTAGAGAATGACAAGGCTACAGGATATGACTGTGGGCTTGGAAGACTGCTGACTTGCAGGATTAGCTCAGATAGTTCCATGGAGGGAGCAGAGAAGGCCAATAGACAAAACACCCAGAGACTTTCAAGGCTGTTGTACTGTGTAGCAAGATTGAGACAACTATCTGCAACAGTCTATGGCTCTCTATAGCAAGACCAGTTCTGGCTATTTCGTGTAGTTGGACTTTCCTTTAGGTCACTAACTTACACACACACACACACACACACACACACACACTTACTATTAATTATGAAAGCATGACCTATAGCATAGGCTTGTCCCACTAGCTCTTAGAACTTAAAAAATAAATTTTTATTCATCTATCTGCTGCCACATGACTAGAGGCTTTTATCCCTCCCCCTGCATGTCTTGCTTCCTCTGAGTCCACCTTGTGACACCGCCTTCTTATCCAGATCTCTCTCTGTCTATAAGTCCCACCAATACTTCCTGCCTAGCTATTGGCCATTTAGCTTTTCAG